TATATATATATATATATAAATAACAACACAAGACTAAAATGAATCGGTCGACTCTGTCCTACAAACTGAGCAATAAAGGCGGATTCTATTCTATTCTATTCTATTCTATTCTATTCTATTCTATTCTATTCTATTCTATTCTATTCTATTCTGCTCTATTCTATTATATTATATTCTATTCTAATCTCTTCTATTATATTATATTATGCTCTATTCTACTCTAGTCTACTCTATTCTATTATATTCTATTCTATTCTGCTCTATTCTATTCTAATCTATTCTAATATATTCTATTATATTATATTCTGCTCTATTCTATTCTAATCTATTCTATTATATTATATTCTATTCTGCTCTATTCTACTGCTCCTCCACATTTCAGCTCGTTATTTGAAAAAGTGATGGAGTTGAAGTCGTTTTCTGAGCGTTAACAACCAACGTCCTCTGACAGTCCCTCTGTAGATGAAACTAGAACATCTAGAAGGAGTGCACGTGTCCTGCCATCGTGCATGTGCAATCTGACAGGATGTGTTGCGTACGACTCTCAGCTACTACCACACCAAAGTAAAGTGCAATGTTAGTAAAAGCAGCTGAGGTGTTTTTGTGCTTGTTAAGGTCGATGAAGTGTTGAACCCTGAATCTATTGATCACTTCTAGAAATACACTCACTGGAAACTTTCATTCAAATTAGAGGTTCACGAGATATTTTGCTAACAGACGCAGACACAGGTAAAAACATCATCGCCTACCTTTACCTTTTTAGCACTGAGGGATAACTGTGTGCCTAAATAAGAGACTCCAACAACCAGAGCAGGTAAAATATGGAAGTGAGGGATTGTGGGAAAAGATGAAAGTGATTCACGGCGCTCGATGGCGAGGTCTGAGCCGGACCGCTGATGCTAACGGGAACAGAAAGGTGAACACAGATGGCGTGGAAACAAACACACAGCAGCCAGCAGGCCCTCCGACATCTGTCACACCTGCCTGCTTCCATCCCATCACACACAGACGTGCACACGCCCCGCGAACGCTTGTGACAGCCCGGCAACGCGCCACGAGCAAAGAAACACACGTTGCTTTCTAGTACGCTTCACGCACACGCAGGAAAAATGACCAGCACCTCCGCTCTGCCTCACTTCACATCGTTCCCCGTCTTTCGCTCCGTTTCTCCAAGACTTCCAGCTCTCGTTTCATCTCGATCCATCGAGTCAACGCCGTCACCGCATGCCCCTTTATTTCTCAGGCAACTCAAAGTCTCGTTTCTCTCTCCTAATCCCGCCCTTCATCGCTCCAGTTCCAGTTCTACACCCGTTCACATTTTGCTGAAGTAAAATCACAAAAAGCAAACCAGGAGAACTTAAAGTGGGAGGTGAAAAACAAATCCTCAAAATGTGAGAAAGTGTTAAAACATGCGTTAATGTGACTGTTGGGATCTGAGGAAGCCAAAGAACGCTTGTCTTTTGTAAGCTCAGTGTATGGAATGATGTAACAGGTTTACAGAATGAAACAAAGGCAGTAAAAATGAGGACAAACAGCAGAAAGTAGTGAAGTAATAAATGCACCATTTACCACTGATGAGCACGACGACGGCTGCTTAACGAATCTTAGATTAAAAACCACAGACCCAAGTCATTGCAAATTAATGGGCCTTTTTAAAACACATTTTATCGGCTCTTGGAAAAGAAATCAGTTCTTTAATGAGAATAAAAAGAGCCCCGAGTCATGGAAAAGGAAGGAAGCGTAAGATTTACAAAGGTTATTTTTAAAGGACTGTGGACTAAATACAGTTAAAATTTAAGTTTGTATAAAAATGTAAAAACTGATGAAACAAGAAGAATTAACAACAACAAAACAATAATAATATTTCAGTTATAGTTTCACATTTGGAAACGTATTGTTCCATATCTTTGAGACCGTCTACTTGGATACTTTTTACAAAGTAATATCAAAATAACAAAAACCATCAAAATAAACTATAATTGTACTTAAACTGGTGACATCAGCAAATAAAAAATATTTTTAAGTAAACCAAACACCATTTTTCCGAAACAGCTAGCTTCAAATTAATCTCACTAACAAATTGGACAGATTATGTGAAATAATCCAACAAAACGTTTGCGCTAAACCGCACCTGGCTAACATTATGTAGCATGGCTAACGTTAGCATGATGATGTAACAGTCTCTCCAAACTCTCTGTTACTGACTGAAGGCTCTTTCATAAAACTCCTCAGTCTGGGACTGAGACACCTTCTGTTCACCTCGGTGGGGTTTCTGAAACTACTGAGGCAGCAAGGGGGATTAGAGCCAGCCACCCTCGATGCTCCTGTGTGCCACGAGGCGAGGTAGTAAGAGAGCCGAAACAGTTGACGTGAAAAAGTACGCCGATGCTGCGGCTCTGTAACGTGACAAAATGATGACGTCGACAAAAACAGATTATAGAAGAAATAAGTCATATTGTTTTATAAAAATAAGTAGCTACAAGAGAATCGCTAAAGTGAGTAAACTCTAAATGTATTGAAAACAATACAAGGAAGACGTCCAATGCACAATAATGTGTTGCGCTCCACATCAACCCAGCTGAGTTGTGCTCCACGCCTCTTTAGGTTCCACTTCATCCCTGAAAGCTCTCGTCTGTGCCGGACCTGGTCGGCTCCATCAGTGATGTTTTTAAAGACGTCTGCGTGGCCATTTTGGGGAACTGGTTGATGGAAGAGCCTTCAGAGTGCTCGCAGAAGATTCAAAACCAGAAACATGCGCATTGGAAGAGGACGAGTAACCGACTTTAAGACAAGACAAAATAAATGTGTTTAAATCCATACAGCTAACGTTAACAGGATAATCTTACAGCAACACTTTATGTTTCATATGATGACAAGCTGCAGTTTTCCACCAAATCCAATAAAGGTCCAAAACCAACAACATTAAAAAACTTCAGTTTGACCAAAACGTATTGATTTACAATATTTCTTCCCAAAATGATCACTGAGCAGAAATATGAGGGCTCTACGAGTCAACACTAAAAGAAAGAAAAGAATAAAGATGTGCACGTAAAATAGAGGTGAACCAAACAAGAAGAGCAAGAAAAAAGAAAAGGATAATTAACAGGACAGAAAGAGACTAATAGCTGAAGACAGGTGGAGCGTAGGAGAAAAGAATGGGGACAGGTGTTGAAACGAAGGTGAGAAGAGAGGTCCAAGAAAAAGAAGGAACTCAAAAGGCAGCGTGTAGAGAACATTTTGTGAACACAACAAAAGAAACGTGTAAAAGCGTGTGCAGCAGTGAAGCGATGCGTGATGGAAGCGACTGCTGGGATAAGCAGCGCCCTGCCGGCCGTCAGAGACCTGATGGGCTGTCACTTAATCAAATGACATGTCACTTGTTGTGTCCTTACACCCCCGCTGGGATACTCATTATCGCCCATGATTGCCCCCAACTAACCTTCGACAGCTTCTCCTCCTGCTCTCCTTCCTCTCCAGGCACCTTCTCAACATCCCAGTCATCATCATGTTTGGTTTGAGCTGCCACTCCAGAGAGCAACGAAGACCTGATCCTCCTTTTTCTGTTCAGCTTCTTCGTCACATCATCCACACTTTAAGTTGTCCATCTTTTAAAATACATCTCTGTAACGCACCACCTTTTATAGAAATGTTTCACACCAACAACAAGCGTCCCAAAGTGACCCAACATGGCACAGAAACCAAACCAGAACTTCATGTGGCGCCAAAACACCACCATGAAACCACACCAGTAACACGGGAGCGTGCATAAAAACGTTCATGTTCGGAAGGACCAGTGTGCTGGTCGTGCATGAACCATAGACCACAGACTGGATCTCTTGGTTTGGTTGCGCTTGGAGTCGAAGCAAAACAAGAAAAAACTTTTACTAATCCTGAAAACCGTTCCTGCGTGGGCGGGATCTGAACTTCTGCTGAAGCTCCGAGATGATCACTTCAACACGTTTCTGAAAACCAAACGAAGCAGCGACCCAAGCCTCAAAGAAAGGTTACTCACCTGCACATTTGGTTCTGGTGATGAGCGGTGGTCCCGGCGGTCCCGTTCCCCCTTCTCCAGGTCTGGACAGCAGGACCTTGATCTCGTACTCCACGTCCGGGTCCAGATGCCAAAGCTTGTAGGTGGGGGCATCAACCACGTGGGTCTCGGCCCAGTTTCCTGTAGTGGTGCGGTACTCCACCTCCTTCAGGATGATCGGTCCGTCGCCGATGATGCTGTTGGCGTTGGGCTTGATCCAAAGGTAGGTGGCGCCGACGGCGAGAAGTTCCGGCGGCGCGATGGGAGTAGGCGGGGCTGTAAAAACAGGATTTTTAAAGAAAGTAATTTTTAATTTGTGTTTGTGCAACAGAATGTTTTCCAGTGAAACACTGAATAAAACCCGTGGCTGATTAAACCGTTCAGTTTAGAAAGTGGTTTTGTTTAGACTGAAACGGACCTCCAGCTGAGCCTCACACGATTATTGTCCTCCTGAACATGATGTTGAAACCCGATCGAAGGTGCTGACGAGTGAAGCCCTCGAACCAAAGAATGGACCTCACTCCTCTTTCTGTCTTCTGCTGGAGCCTCTTTAACCAGGTCTCTGGTAAACGAGGCTCCATGGGATTACCAGCATAAATAAAGGTTGAATGAATGAATTAATAACAATAAAAACTACATTTCAAAATGCATCCTCTCAGTGTAAACAGCTTTTAATAATGAAAACTCAACAGTTTTAGTATTTTCCTAAATGATCAGTGGAGAACTTGTTGTGAGGCCTAACGAGGAACAGACGGAGGAGGAGAAAACTCTTAAACGATCAATATAAAAAATATTTATTAATCATATAATATATTTAGATGTTTTGTATCGGGTAAATTATTTAGTAAGAGTTTAATTTAGGAACACTGTAAGAGCCTTTCCAAACATAAAACTCAGTAGATAAATAAATAAATTAAAATCTTTAGAGGTAAACGATTTGTGTAAACAAGCTTACAGCGCATTATACGCCCCTCGATAAAACATTATACAGCAACTTATATAACGATGGCCCGGACAAGCAAAAACCTTTGACCTTGACTTGGCACCTTGACCTTGGAGCTGGTGTGATGAAAAGTGTACGCAACACTCCATCTAGGGACGATGTGTATGTGCATCGAGAGCATCAAATCTTCAGTAGTGGATCAGAAGTTATGGGCGGGACAAGAAGAGTTTCTGGACGGCACGATAAAACGTCCGCCTGCGCACGGGCGAGCAAAAAGTGTCAGAAGTGTAAAACCTTTACGGTTAGCTTCAATCTGTTTTATCGCCTGCTGCCAGGAAAAGCAGGTGATGATGTAACACCATGGGTCTGTGTCATGTGTTTGTCAGCAAAATATCTCATCGACCACTGGACGAATCATAATGAAGCTCAGACAGTAACGACTGTAGCTCCACAGCTCCTCAACGTTCGGAGTCAACCCGGTTCAAGATGGCTGCCACAGCTAACTGCACTTATGGAAGTATAATTTGGTGTGGTAGCAGCTGAGAGTCATCCCTAATGCATGCTCAGAGGGCTATCAGAGACAAAGTTGTGGATCTTATGGAGTTTTATTGTTTAATCAAAGTTTAAAAGATAAACATGGATTCTGGATTGAATTAGAAAAATCTCGTTAAAAGTTTCACAGCAGGAAACATCAGAATAAACTCGGTTATAGAAATAAAAGCAGCTCCTCATCTCATAAACTCTGAATAAAGATGGTAATTAATTAAAACTCTGTGTAGATGGCAGCTGCAGGCTTCAGTCGGGTGTTTTGTACGACCCAGTGACGCTCAGTAAACTGTATTTTTACAGACAAACAGAAAATAAAAAGCGTTCGCTGACAGAGACATTAGCTGATAAACACATCGGAGCGGTGAGTGTAGCTGTCGAGCAGAGGAGGAGGAGTGAGATGATTTTTACAAGCCAAGCGGGATGATTTTACCTCCAACAAACGAGCCGAGCCGCCACATCGCCATGACATAAATCTGAAGCGGGCTGAGTTAAGGAGCAGCAGGAGCAGATGGAAACAATGACAGGAAAATTAATTGGACTTTTCCTGTTCGTCAGCAGACTGCCTGCGCCTCTGAGCGCTCTGCTCATCAGCACGAGCTACGGTAATTACCGTAGACAGCTCCGGCTTCTTCCTCGACCTGGGGATCAGCGCCTTGGACCGACATCGTGATACACCAGATCCGCCTCAGATTTACTGAAAACCTCGGTTTCTTTATGGATATTTTAAATCTCCGTGCTTCTTAATGCCATGATGATACTATGGATTGTTCCGGTTTGGTCTACAGCAGAGCTGAGCTGCAGATCAAATACCGTCACCCTGAAAACTGATCAGTTAAGATGCTCTGATGTCCGACCACATGTTTATCGATCCGCTCAAACTGGAGGGACTAAGAGTGGTTTTCATGCCGAGGCTTTGTTCTCTGACGGGCTCTGTCTGTTGACAGCTGAATAAATCCAGCTGAGAATATTATTCTCTCTCCTGCCGCCTTCAGACAAACTTCAATTCACTCAGTTTTTAAACACAAAAACGGCTCTAACTCAGTGCACTTTATACACGTGGTGCTAAAATCTGCTGTGGTAGTAGCTGAGAGTCATCCTCAACACAGACGTCGTGCTCTATCGCATCTCATAATTTTGCAGGAGTTTACGTTTGATGTAATTTTGACCAAAAATAACCACATCTGTGTCAGTCAGTTGTTGTCCTGTGGTGGTGTGGAGAGGGGGCAAGCGTCCGTCTGTCTGTCTGCACATCCGTGCATGTTGTGTGCACGATAACTTGAAAAGCAAGTGAGGTCCTGACGTCTGTTTTGGTGCGTCACTATCGAAGACTGGTTGACTAAGTCAAAAAAAAAGATGGCTGCCACAACATATATGTAACCCCACTACTCATTTGAGGAAACTATGATGTCTAGGTTCTTTATTGATAAAAATGCAGTTTATTCAAATGACTGGGGGGGCTAAAGATTAATCTCTGGGGGTCTTTGCCCCCAGAGATTAATCTGTGGGGGTCTTTGCCCCCAGAGGTTAATCTGTGGGGTTAAAAGCTATAGACCAACATGCAGGACAGTTGCTGAATCTGGGTGAAATTGTAAAAAGCAGGCATTAAACATGTTTTTTTTTGGGGGGGGGGGGGGGGGGGGGTGGGGGGTGGGATCGAGATAATTTGAAATGTAGCCAGAAATTAATACTTCAAAGTTTGTTTGTGTTGGAGTCCAGAACTATCAGGTATGAAACGATGACAAGAATACTCCTGAACGGTTTAGAGAACAACTCTGCAACTGAAGCTTTAGTTGTTTGAAACTTGTCGTGCTTCGATCTCTGTCTCACACAGAGCACTTCACGTTTTCCAGGAAGATTTCAAGGATGTTTCACAGGCAGAGGAGAAAAACTCTCCCGCCCTGATGCACCATTTATGTTGTTTACAAGAAAGGCTGATAAATATGTATTCAAAAGAAAAGCTGCTTTTCTCACAGAGCAACATGCAGAGACGTTCGGCTGCTGGTTTCAACTAAAGTCAGACTTTTCTCTCCGGCCTTTAACTCCTGCTTTGACCTGCATCATTTATATTGAACGACTCCTCCTGATGTTACTCCACAGGAGGAGGGAGGAGACAACCCTCCATCACTTCCTCCCCCTGCCTGTGTTCGCCCCCCTCCCTCCTCAATCAGCTCATTTACCGCTGCGTTACAGAGGCCACCCAGCAGCTCGCAACCTGGCGCCGGCAAAGACACGAGGGACACACTTCCCCAGAAACACTCTCCTAAACTCCACCCCCACCCACACACACACACATGATTTTACATTTTGTTTAAAGATTCACCCCCCACCCACCCCACCCACCCCCATCTGAAGCATTCCTGGACAAAATCATCTAAATGTTAAAGCAGGTTTTGATCCACGTCCATCTGTCTCTCTGCACGGACACAGAGACAGTGAAGACACTGATTGTCTTCACCTCCCGTCGTCTTCATACAGAGACACTAATGAAGAGTGAGAGCAGAGAGGACGGAAAGACAAGAGACTTTTAGGAGAACAAATGGAGAAACATGGATGCTGCATGGGGGGGTTCCCCTGAACATCTCCGCTCTGAGACCCGGACTCAGAGACCTTCAGTCTCAGAGAGAACGAGGACGTCGTCTGAAAATGAACGTTTCACGTCGAGAGATCGGGGCCTCAGACTGGCTGTCAATCAAGAGACACATCTCATGGATGGATGATCAGCTGACGTCTAGTTTCTAATGCCACGCCATCTACCCAGAATACCTTTGAGACTGACCAGTAGATCACCATCGATGTATCGGCCCCCGGCTTTAAGACATACACAATCCAAAAACATGAAAATAAAAACCAGAAGAGCTGGAACTTCAGCTTCAGAATAAAGTTCTGAGTTGTGGACTGAGATCGGGACTTTTTCCACTTGTTCATTAAGCCGGACATTACCGGAGAGCGCGGTGCAGACTTCACCCCCAGCCAGGACTCTGGCCCTGCTGGTCCATAAACACTGTGTGAGCATGTTTAGCAGGACCTCGGGTCTCGTGAAGGTTTTATCCTGCGTGTCCTGGGGCCTTGTTGTCAGATGAAGCATCGCGCCCTCGAAGCCGGTCGGTGTTACGACCCCCGGCGGGAACAAAAGTGTGCGCTCACTTTTTTACTGCGCTGCGTTACGAGCCCAGCGCTGCGTTTAAAGACGGCGCGGTGAGTTTCTGTCAGGAAGAAGAAACTTCAGTCAACACAAACTTCTCTCCTCTTGTAAACCTGCGTGTTGGTGCTGCTGCTGAACATGCGTGCAGTTTTAAATTTCATGTATTTTACACATTTTCTGTGGATTGTTCTGTAGCGTGGGCGTTCCAAGACAATTAAATTATTTTCTGCTCTAACCTGCAGCAGCTGAGAAGAAGCTCAATGAAAATAAAATGTTTTGCTCCTAATGAAGCATCTATTTCTGAATTTAAAATAAAATGAAAATCAAAACAGCAGCACGGTGGTTCAGTGGGTAGAGCAGCTGCCTCTCAGTGAGAAGGTCGCCGGATCAAATCCCGGCTGGGGGCCTTTCTAGGTGGAGTTTGCATCTTCTAGATGTTTTTCTAGATTTGCATTGTTCTGGACAACAGCATCCATTTTGGACCAAGACGTGGTGGTGGAGTGGTGGCACCGAGGTTAGAAAAGGTGGGGCTGTGATCGGAAGGTCGCAGGTTCAACTCCCCAGACCATCCATCCATTATCTTTACCCGCTTATTCCATTTTGGGTCACGGGAGTCGCTGGTGCCCAAGTCCAGCAATCACT